TGAGTATTACCATTCATTATAGCAGTTATGTCAATCTTTTATGCACTCGTGGGATTAACTTAGTGCTAGGGCATTGAATATCGAACAATACGTCAATTTCAATGATTTTGGGTTTTTTTGAGACACCCTGTACAATTCTGATGAAAGTATTGAAGCCAAATTATTAATTGAACCTATGGCTATGCCTCCGGGATTTGCTAATATCAACAGTGCATGAATACATTTTCACATGTAGGTGCAAGACTGATATACGTGTTATTTTTTTTAATTTTTAGAATTCACGGCGACAGATCATTTCACTGTGATATATGTGGTGTTTGTCTTGATGTTCAGCTGAAAAATAACCACAAATGCCGCGAAGATTCAGCTCACGACGAATGCTGCATTTGCCTCGAGGTAATTCTTCAACTTTGGCTGATTCTAATCTGTTTAAGCAACATCTTTCTGCATGAACAAATATGTATTTCCAGACTAATGTCCAGTATCGGCGTTTCGATTAAAATAAAAACGCATAAACCTGTTTGATGTTTTTAAGCTCTACAAAAGCATGAAAAACAAGGCTGGTCGAAAGGATCATACACATCATCAATTGTGATGTGATATCGTGAACATGCAACCGCACATTACATTTGGTACATAAGGTTCGTTTTCCACTCAAGGCATTTCGCCGCCGCTGGCGAAATAAAAAATGTCTGGCGCGAAAATTTGAATTCCACTCTTTCCGCGACCAAAAATAAATCAACAAGGACGACATAAACGAAGAATTTTTATTTTTATTAGCAGACAAATTTGTCTAAGCAGACAAAAAGTCTCGTAGAGATTTATTACGTAAGAAATATAGAAAACGTTTCTGGGTAAGAAAAACATTGTTGAACGTAGACAAAAGGGTGAATACGCTCTCAGTTTTGTATTCCAAAGTATATTGGGAAGCTTCGTACGATTTCTACTAATTGACCACCGTCTATATTCCCATCTCAGCCTACTAGATCTTCTCCAGCGTTCAGATCTTGACTTAAATCAGTCGAACTCTCCTGACTTTCATTTAGTAAATCGTCCGCCATGTTGAAAATGCAAAACACCAAAGGTTTGTTTGCGGAAATGTGATTGGTCGTTTTTTGCGCCGCCAGCGAAATTTTAACAGAAGTTGTAGCCTGCGTAGCAGGCGCTATTTAGGGGGGAGGGCGAAAAATGGAAGGGGCAAGAAAGAAATGGCTATTTCTTTCTCGCCCTTTCCATTTTTCGCCCTCCCCCCTAAATTGCGCCTGCTACGCAGGCTACAGAAGTTGAAAATTTTCAACTAGCATGTGAGTTATCTAAAGTTGTGAATTTGGTATATATAAACATTAACCAAAATTGTATATTGTACATTGCTTATTGTATATTAAAGTCAAATAAAGGAATTCAATTCAATTTTATTTTCATTGTTTAATTAAGGAATTTTTACATAGTAATAATTAATAGCTGCCAAAAAAAATAGTGGAAATTATCTAATCATATTCAAAGTAGTTCGTGAACGGCAACCAGAGTAGCAAAACCTTTCGCGCTGGTTGCTAGGAAGGCTAGTTAAATGATCAAATAGGATTTTTTCCATTTGACATGGCTTATGGAGTGGAATAAAATGGTAGTACTACGGTCTTTGTAGGTTTGCATGCCGATAAAACATATAATGATGCTATTGTTTGTGGAAGCACCACGTAAATTTATTACTGCAAAGCTTTGATTCGTAAGCCCGGATCTTCATCAGTGCAGCTATTAATATGTATTAGCACTGATGAAGATCATATTATTAGCACTGATGAAGATCCAAGCTTACGGATCGAAAGCTTTGCAGTAACGAATAAAATGGTGTTCAGCCTTCTGAAGTCGAATTGTGTCAAGTCATAATGCAAAGTGAGGGTAGTGAGTGGATCAAATGAACCATTGGCCACATTTCAATTATAGATTTAATTAGTGCTGCATGTTGTCGTCTTCTATGTAGTTTTCGGACATTTATTTCACCCAAAATCACCCCCACACATTTTCATTTGGGAAAAAATTTTAATTTTGTAATAACACTATTCTTTAAAGACTAGCCTGCGAACAGGCCCTAGGTTACGGGCGGCGCGAAGAATAGAGGGCCTGCACGGAACTATAGGTTTTCTTGGTAGTGGCGTTCGTATAGACTGGCGCAGGCTTCTGATTGGCTTACACTCGTTGACAAAATTACTAAAAATAGCAAATATCAACAACAGCATTTTGAAGAATTTGAAATTATAAGACTATCGAATAAATAAAACTAGAAATGGAAACCAAAAGCAATAGCAAAGCATCACAGCAAAAAAGTCTATCATAAATTACTTGAATCTATCGCTTAAATCCAATACACAAAACTATAACAGTATTCTGAACTTCGTCTTCGGATTGACATAGTATAGTACATTTTGAGGTCGTCGTGCAGGCTTCACGGATTATTCTCATTAGTGAGCAGTCAGCAAGGGAAGGCATACAAAAGATACCCAAATATGTACGAATAATTATATTGTTGATCCTCGCTGGCATGTCATTTAGTCCATTTAGATAAATATATATCGTACATTAAACGTTGTACTATTTACTGTATAAACTGCTGACAATTTCGTCGTCGATACGGCTTCCACTATTGGCACACTCGTGATTTCGAAGAAATTAATAAATACATGCTCATTTATCATTTATTTAG